TGACGCCCGCGCGCACAGGTCGCAGGCTGAAACACGGACGGAGCTGCTCGGGGAGCTCAAGGTGGTAGAAGGCGCCCTTCAAGTCGGCGCCCTCCACCGTCAGGAGCGAGTCGCCCGCCGCCATCTCGAGCATACCAAAGGCGTCGCCCGTCGCGAGCCGCGCGCCCAGGGGCTCGGTGAACACCTCGTTGGAGCGCCGGCAGTCCGCCACCATGCGAAGGCGGCCCCCCTTTTTCTTCACAAAAAAAATCTCGGCACGTACGCCGTCCTCAAGGCTGAAGTCGACTAGGTGCCGCTCGTACAGTAACTGAACAAAACTGCACCAGCGCCGCTGATCACGTAGAAGAGGGTCAGAGTAGGGAACAGGTATAGAGCTCTGCCTCAGCCTGGCTTCGGCCTCGCTCGGATCCATCAAGCTCTGCAGAACGAACTGTTCGACCTTGGCTTGCCCGCCCTCCCCCCGCACGTCGGCCAGCGGCACAGGGGCGGCGCTGACGTCCGGCAAGGAGAAGAGCGCGGGGTCGCAACTCCCGAGGGGCGACTGCTCGACATTGCAGGCGCCCCCAGCCACGCGAAGCTGCACCAGCGCTTCTGCGGGAGAAAGAGTCGACGGCGGCGGACCAAGGTTGCGCGCCGACTCGGAGATGTGGGCGAGGCACTGGCTCTGAGCGAGTGACGGCCCAACGTATCGCGCAGAACGGTCACGACCACAACGGAGGGACGGGTCATGAAGCCAATTGAGAGCGTCCACGCACGCAAAGACATCGTTGCAGACACCAAGCCTTCGCCCAATCCTTTGCCTCGTGCCCCGGGCGAGCTCCCTGATAGAAGCCTTATCCAGCGGCTCTTTGAACGAGGGGTAGGGCAGCGGCAAGATGTCCCGGGGCCGACGCCTGCCAATGACGTGGGCGTCCTGAGGGAAGAAGGGCCCACGCGGGTCGCCGTCGTGGAGGGGTGTAGTACTCGTGCTGGCCCCCCTCCGATGCCAGCACGGCTCCGATGCTCAGTCATTTCTGCGCCTGGACTCCCGCTCCTCGCGGGCCAGGCGCAAAGTCTCGTGTAGCCTCGCCTCCTTCTCAGAGTCACCGCGGACCTGCTCGACCAACCCTGGAGATGCCATCACCGACGAAGTTGAACGTGAAAACCCCGAGACGGCGGCCTGCCCCTCCAGACTCATCTTGCCACCGACGCCCTTGCTCACGGCGTCTTCGGCCTTGTCCAAGTGGGCCAGCTCGAAGGTCCGATGCTTCCAAAACTTCATCTCAATGCTGATGAGGTTAGCCCCGTCTAGGAGGTCCTGACTGGTTGCCGCTCTGATCTGCTGACTCAGCTCGTAGTGTACTTGACCTCCCCAATCCGTGGCGGCGAGCCTAGAGACCCGCGCCAAGTGCTCGTGATGGCCCTCTATGCAGAGGCCCTCGCGCTGCAGGTAGCTCATGCACCACGCCGCCGTCCTCGGGCCCAGCAGCGCCACGTCCGAGCCGAAATCCCCCTGGCGGGTCATATCCTGAGTCTTGTGCCACGGGACGTTGCGTCGACCCTGCCCATCTCGAACACTGGGCAAGATCCTGGTGTCCGCCTCAACAGCTGTACGCAAGAAGGTCTCGGGAGCGGACGGCGGCCCCAGCTCCGCGAGCAAGCCCTGGCCGTCTGGCAGCACATGAGGGTCCCGACCCAGGACTCGAGCTGCAAGGGCATCGCGTCCAAGCACCTCATCACCAATCCGATATCCGGGCTCGCAGGCGGCCGCCCCCCGTACCCCAGCGGGGTCACTACCAGGTGCACCCGCGGGCAGCACGGCAGCTCCGCACCGCGAGCCCAGCGCAAGGTCCGCGGGCGCACTGGGGGCAGCCACACCTCCTTCTCCTGGCGCGACCGACACCCGCAGGTTGGTGAGCAGGCCGAGATCGCCGATGGCCGCAGCCCTGGTGCAGCACTCCGCTGTGGCGATCTGCTCCACCTCCAAGGGGCGCTGGGCCAGCTCCGCATCCGTCGGCTCGGCTCCAGACCCATGAACCTGGACGCCCGCGATCCCTGGAGGCGTCGGGTTGAAGGCACGAGAACGTGCGGCCTGCACCACAGCATTGTTGGCCAGCACGACGTTGTATGGTTCGCCGTCCGCCGTGTAGATCACGCGGTCAGCCTCGGACGATGCCGCCCCCCACTGATTCAAGTGCTGGTGCCACACCACTTCGTCGGCGTAGAAGGCGTACACCCAGCGACTCGTTGCCACCGCCGTCATCACTGATACAGCCCGCAGGATGCCGAACACGCGGACGAGCATCCCTCCCAGCGCGACACAACAGAACCCAACGCACGCCGCGGCGAGCAGGAAGCCCACTGCGCCGCCCACCAGGCCCGCGGCCAGGGAGCGGGGGTCGATGGCGACGTCGCTCACCAGCACGGCCGCCGCCGAGGGCGGCGCCACCTCCGGCCACGCGGGCGCGGGCGCGGCCTCTGGCGCGGGGCAGGCCCCACACGTCGGGCACGCCGGCGTCGGGCAGGGCGGCGGCGAGGGGCACACCGCTGGGGCGACCTCCGCGCACGGCGGGATCGCTGGGCACTGCAGCGAGCACCCAGGGCACGGAGCTGGCGACCCGCACGCCAACGAGCACACGGGACAGGCGGGACACGATGGCACCTGCGGGCACCTGGTGAGATAGGAGACCACCCCTGTGACGGCGTGGTTCGTGAGCCTCTCCCACATCCCTCAAGACTTGAGCAACCAGAACGGCGGCGGCCCACAAGATACATCGGAAACCCGTGAGATCACGACAATCATCATCATCATCATCATCATCATCATCATCATCATCATCATCATCATCATCATCATCATCATCATCATCATCATCAGCATCAGCATCAGCATCAGCATCAGCATCAGCATCATCATCATCATCATCATCATCATATTCATCTTCATCTTCATCTTCATCTTCATCTTCATCATCAGCATCATCATCAGATATCATCAACATCATCATTATCATCAACATCATCATCTGCCTCTTCATCTTCATCCTCCTCACAATTACCTCCTCCCCCTTCGTCCTCCCCCTCCTCCGTGGAAAGATGTGCGAACACATGCATCGGTGTGCAGTTCACTCCTGGACGGCATGCTGCTGCAATCCCTTTGCCAAGGCAACTCGCGCGGGGAACTTTCGGCCTGGCCGGGGGGGAACGCGAAACGTCAAGAATTGTAGGCTGGGAATGCACTTCACCGAACCCACAACGGTCACTTCAAAGTGTTCACATGTCCACGGGACGGCAAGCTGGAAGAAACGCTTATTCGGACCCACCGACGCATCTCATGGTGCAGCGACGAAGAATATCTTCACGGCCCCTGCGGGCGGCCTGCTTTGGAGAAAACTGCGTGGGGAAACAGAGCCTCGATCCTGCACTGGATAGGTTCCGACTTGTGTATTGGAGGACGTTCTGGGCGGGAGCGCCATTCCGAAGTCGAATAAGAAAGGTTCGGAATATGTTTTAGAGGAAATCCCAGGCGGGAGCGCCATTTCGAAATCGAACCAGAAGGATTTCCAATTCTAGTTTGGAGGAAGTCTTTGGCGGTAGAGCCATTTCGACGTCGAGCCCGAAAGGATTCGAATAATGTGTTGAAGGTAGTACTGGGCGGGAGCGCCATTTCTAAATCGGACCAGAAGGGTTTCGAATTCCATTATTCAGGAAATTCTAGGCGGGAGCGCCAATTCGAAATCGAACCCGAAAGGCTCCGAATTCTGTTTCGGATGAAGTCCTGGACGGGAGCGCCACTTCGAAATCGAGCCAGAAAATTACAAGGTCTACTTTAAAGGAAGTCTTGGGAGGGAGGGCCATTACGAAATCGATCCCGAAAGTTTCGAAATCTTCGAATTTGTTGAGGAGGTCTCAAGCGAAAACGTCGTTTTGAAGTGGCCTCACCGTTTGGCATTTTAGCTTTTGAAATTTCTGGCCAGAGATTTCGAAAGTGTGGTTTTCCCTTGAGAATTCCTGAAAAGCATTTCGACTGATTTCGAGACTTTCGGGTTCGATTTCGAAATGGACCCCCCGCCCAAGACTTCCTCCCAAAAACGATCTCGACTGGATTTCGAAACCATCGGGTTCGAATTCGAAAGGGCGGCTTTGCCTGAGACTTAAGCAAACCAATGCTTGAACAGAACATTGTACTAGGGCCCCGCGGCCTAACGGGCCCCCTTGACGTCGCCTCTCTTGTCGCGGGTGCAACGCCGCTGACAACGTTGTACTGGGGCCCCGTTGCCTAACGGGAGCCGCTACATGTTGGCCGAACTTTCGTAGCTGCGAAGTAATCGACGTCCCAAACAACCAAACGCATCCCGCTGACCACAGGTCGATTAGCGAAACCGACCGGGGACTGCACCAGTGCATTCGAATGCCCATGTCGAGTGAACTGGTAAAGGCTTCCTCGGCCGACTTCTGTGGGTGGGCGTTCTCTCAATGCCCGAAACATTTTGTTGGGCGTGGCTTAATGGGGGGGTCACAAATGGGGGGGTCAGAAACGGTCCCCTTCCGTGCCCCTTTCGGGCCCCTCCGGAGCCCCAGGGGGCTCGTTTAGGTACCGTTTGGGTACCTTTTCGGACCACCCTCGCCGCCCCCCCATTTATTGGGCGCCCGAATTATCCGGGGTAACTCGGGTCCGGGGTAACTCGGGTTTGGATTCCCAGAAAAGAGACCCGAGTTAGCCCTGACCCGAGTTGTCCCTGATGATTCGGGGCTCTGGACGCCCGAGTTATCCGGGGTAACTCGGGTCCGGGGTAACTCGGGTTTGGATTCCCAGAAAAGAGACCCGAGTTAGCCCTGACCCGAGTTATCCCTGATGATTCGGGGCTCTGGACGCCCGAGTTATCCGGGGTAACTCGGGTCCGGGGTAACTCGGGTTCGGAATCCCGAAAAACAGACCCGAGTTAGCCCTGACCCGAGTTACCCCTGATGATTCGGGGCTCTGACGTTCTCTCAATGCCCGAAACAGTTTGCCCGTAGACCTGCCACGCCGGCATGCAGGTCCACGCCTTCTCGAGCACCAGCTGCCTCGGCTCCAGCCTCAGAGCCGACGCGTCGGCCAGGGCGGACGCCGCGGGGGGCGCGCCCGACCTCGGCGCGGAGGGGGAGGGTCCTGACTGTCGGGGAGACGTAAGACCCGGGTACGGGGGACTCGGAAATCCCCGACGAGGTCGTCAAAAAAGTGACGAGGCCGAGCCTGCATTTTGACGAGGCCTCCCGCTGCAGACATCCCACGAAACTCCTCCTCGTCAAAATCCGAGGCGCGGTCGTCAAAAAACGGTGGCGAACCCGAGTCCCGGCAAACCCGGGTCTTACGCTCCCCCGAGATTGGAACGGGTCCTCCGGGGAGGGGCATCCAGCGCCGATCCAAGAAACCGGCGCGGAGCTCGAGAAGTTGCTTCTCAACATGAGCGTGCTCATCGGAGTCCTAACTCAACCCATGGAGAATTGGTCCACTGATGCTCCCCCTCTGCTCTTCCCTTACAATTGTCAAACTATTGGCATGACTTCCTCTGTATCCACATGACTTCCTCTGCTATCCGCATGGCTTCGTCGTAGTCCGCATGGATTCCTCTGCTGTTCCAATGGGCTCCTGTGTGTATTCCAATGGCGTCCCAACAGTCGCCCAACAGTCGTCAAACTCAGAAGCACAGTAGAGTAGAGCAAAATAGAAAAGAGCAGCTGAATAGACGAGAGCAGAATCGAATAGAGCAGAGCAGAGTTGGTGTTGAGTTGAATAGGAAAAGAGTAGGCGTAGAGTAGAATAGAGAAGATTATACAAGGGTAGAGTAGGGTAGAGCAGAAGAGAACAGGGCATATGGTAGTCGGGTAGCCTAGAGTAGAAATGCGCACAACATAATATAGAATACTCAATCAGAGTCAAGCAGAGTCGGAGTATAGCAGGAGGAGGAGTATAGCAGTATAGAGTCAAGCAAGGTCGGATCTGGCAAAGCAAGGTCGAATACGGCCGACCAAAGTACAGCCAACGTGCTACCATAAGGAACTAGGAACAAAATACGAAGAGGCTTTCCTGGCCACGGCGAACCTCTGCCACTGGAAGGTTCCCGGACCCAGAAATACGGAACGGCGCCCAAAACATATGAGCCTTAGGCGTTCCTTCTTCCAGCGTCTTGACTGCAGGGCACATGGTAGAGTAGAATTGTATACAATATCAAGAGTGAAGGGGCCGAGCGGTCATTCACCGTCTCTGGGCACGTGGCTGAAGTGAGGTTCTGCGGTGCGGACTGGTGTCGTTGTTGTTGTTGGTGGTGGTGTTGTTGCTGCTGCTGTTATTGTGGTTATTGTTTTTGTTATTGTTGTTGTTGATTTCTGATCAAAACAATGATTGTTGTTGGTCCCCCTTTCCGGTAACCATTTAACTGTTCAGTTAAAGCGCTTCTCCCGGAGCTCGCATCCGTTTTTTGTTACAAGGGAAAGCGAAAGGTCACCAAACTGCGTTGTTGCCCCCGGGCTACAATAACAACAACAAACCGTTTTTACACGAATGCTCGATGCTTCTATATGCAAAATACATCCATCATGATAGCCCCCCCATCATGGGGAATGTTTCTTGGACACTGGGGCCTGATATTCCCTCTCCCTGATCTCCGGCCCACGAAGGTCTTGACAACGACTTTTCCGCGGCACTTCAACGTCTACAACCCTGGTGGCACATCGCCTTCGCAATCCCCCTGCCCAGCCCTTGCTTCTAGGTATTGCGACGCCTGAATGGCCCAAAACCTTTAGGAGAGGCCTCGCAACCTCTGGAAAACCCCGTGGAAAGCCCCCCAAGCCTCTGAGAGAAACTTCGGAACTTAGGCCCTTTGGCTTTCCGGGGGCCGCTTTTGCGTCGGCCACTTTCTGATGGCTTCAGGGGAGCTGCCGACCACCGCTCCCCGCCGCCGCCGCCGCCGCCGCCGTCGTGGTCGTCGTCGTCGTCGTCGTCGTCGTCGTCGTCGTCGTCGTCGTCGTCGTCGACGTCTCCGTCGTCGTCGTCGCCGCCGTCGTCGTCGCCGCCGCCGCTGTCGTCGTCGTCGTCGTCGTCGTTGTCGTCGTCGTCGTCGTCGTCGTCGTCGTCGTCGTCGTCGTCCCTCGGCCAGAAAAACATTCAAAATCAGTACTCGGACCCCTCCCGGGGTCTAAACGCACTAATTTTTCGAGCCGCGACCAGCCGCAGCGACAAGCAGAGCCCCCGAAGGCCAAACAGCCTCGAACCACGCCGCAGCAAGGAGCAGGGAGAGCACAGGAGAGGGAGAAGGAGGTGGAAATCGTCGTCGCTCGTACATCACGCTCTTTATTCTCGTTCGCTGGAAAAGGCGGAGAATCCCAGGCGGCCGCGCGCTAGAAATGGCGGAGAGCCTCTGCCAAACGCAGCTGGCGCAACCGAGGGCTCTGATCGCGGCAGGTAACGCGAGCGCAGCGCGGCCACAGATGCATCGCAGAATGGCCGGGGGTGACTGGCCACTATATCCGCCGCCGCTCGATTGGTGGATGCCCACAAAGCCCCTCTTGATCCCCATGGCTGTCCGGCCAACCCGCCGCCGCCGCGCCCCCCTGGCAGGATGCCCGCAGGTTCCCCCGTGGTATGTGGACGCCCCGTGCCATCACGATGTTCTCGGGAAGCCCCCGAAGCCCCTTTGCCGCCTCCAGGCCGCCCCGGCAGGACCCCGGGAAACCTCTCAGTTGCCTCGCGCTCGCGACCCAGTCGCGGCGGCGAGTTGGGCGGGCAACGCAGCAATCGCAATGGGCACCGTGGCCCGGCTCTCTCGGGGGGGCGAACGCCCTGGGGTTGCTCGCCTCGCTCGCCCGTTGATTGACGGGGGTCAACCTCCCAGAGGCCAGAGCCGCCAACGGAGGAAGGAAACGCGCCACTTCGGAAAACGCGAGAAACTGCCCTGGGGGAGGATTGCACGGAAATGCGTCACAAGCAACGCGCACGGGCGAGTGTCAGGAAAGAGTCCCCGGACTAAGAGAATCCACAGGCATGCGCCCGCCTTGCGCTTCCCAGCCGCCGAGTGACTTATGAACCCCCGCAATCTTGCGAGAAAGCGACGTCGCGGGCGGCGGGGGCCCACCCCTGGGGCGGAGCGGCAGGCTGGGCGCCGGTGGGCACCTCGGGCCGAACGTCGCCACGATCGATGGCGCCCTACAAATGCCGGTTATGCAGGGCCTTGGTGAAGTCTTGTCAGGGTGGCCTCGCTCCCGGTGAGCGCGTCGTGGAGGGAAGCGACGTGCCCGCGGAAGCACGGGGCGGCTTTCTGCGCGCATGCTCAACGTATGAGAAACCGCTGGCGCCGCGAATGCATGAACATGCGGATGCGGGGCTTCGTTTTGGGGTCGAGGCAGTCGTACAGCGCCTTGCCGTGTTTGGCGAGCTCGGCCGGGTCCTTCCGCGCAGCCGTCGTTCCAGCGCTGCTGGCCGCGCCCTGGCGGAGGCTGGCCGCCCCCTCTCCGGCCGTTTCCTTCTTAGGCACGAAGCAGTGCTCAAGAGCAGGCTCGGCGCGGCCGATCTCAGCGCACAACGCCTTGCATGCTGCTGGCTGCATGATGATTTCATTGCGCTTCTTGATGGTAGGATATTTCTGGTGTTTGTAGAAGCGCAGGGCTGCATGGACAGATCAATCGATGCCCGCCCCCCTTCGGTCCGCGCTACTGTCTGCCATCTCGTCGGCGAACTCGGCGCCCGATTTCAATGGGGCACGCGTCGCCGCCCACGCCTGCTCGTCTGTCATGCTGGGGAACCTCGACTGGCCACGTTCATTGAAGAACTGGCACGTGACGGTCTCGTAACTCGTCAGCCGTTTCCGGGCTGGCTGGTCGCCGGCGGGCCCGGAGCGCTTGTTGGAAGCATCGCGGGCGGCAGATGCCCCGGCCGCTGCCCCGAAATCGTCGGGCCCCGGCGGCGCGTTGCCGGGAACTGGTGATGCAGAAGAACGGCCGGCTTGCGTGCAAGAGGTAGTGCTCTTTGTCAAACTCTTCCGAAATGTGCATTGCAAGAACGAATGCCAATTATCGTGCGAACGATTCAACGTCGTAGCGACACGCTGTCCCGCTTGCCAACCACTGCCAAAGAGCTGGTTGCAAGGGCGATCGCAAGTTATCGCGATGGCGATATGCGCGGCGAAAAATACCATCTGGCGTCCAGAAGCGAAGCGCTGTGAAGCCCCTTGGCCAGAAACTCGCGAGCCAAAGCCGGGCCACGGAAGGGCGCCGCCGCCCGCGACGCCGGAATGTCAGGCCAGCGGCTGAATATGTGCAAGCCAGCCTGGGCCCCAGACCGTGCGTTATTGCTCCGAGGAAGCGGCGGCGACGCGGCGCATGCGATGCGGTGAAGACTACGTCGTGCAAACATACGGCCATGCATGCGAACGACGCGGCCACGACGCGACACCGCGGCGGCAACGTAGCGAAGCCTTGCAAGACGCATCCAAGCATTGCGACAGCGACGGAAGACCTCTTCGGCCGGCCACCCGGGCAGACTTACGGCTGCAGACGCACTGCGAGTTTGGATGTTGCCTCCACCAACCCCCGCGCAGCCTCGGCTGGCAGACCGCCGCGCCGACCGATCGGCGCAGCGGCAGCGGCGGCGGCGACGGCGGCGACGCAGCTGCGGCCGTGATGAAACAATTTATCCACCATCTGCGCCAAGTGCATCCACCACTCTGGGGGAAGACGCCTTCGCCATTTCCGCCAATGCGATTTGCGACCGCAGCCCCGCAAGAAAAGACATCCGCCACTTCCGCCAATATCAGCCTCGACCACGCCAGGAGCTCCCGCGAAGGTTCGAATTTCTTGCCCGATGCGTTCCTCCAACGCAGCTGCAAAAATGAGCATGCCGCCCCGCGCGGCGAACGGCCTCGCGCAAGGGCCCCCGCGCGGGGCCAGCCGCTCGCAAGCGACGCTTCTGGCCTGACTGGCCACGCGATAAGGGGGCCGAACGAAACCCAAGCGAATGACGCGGCGCTAAGTATACGAGAAGTACGTTAGATCACGACGCGGAGCGGTGCATCTGCCATCTGTCATTTGCGTCCGCCGCTCCGGGGAAACACGCCTTCGCTGGTGCAGCCGAGGTGTTTTGCGACTGCAGCCCC